TCCGTTGGTTCATCTAAGAAGAAGCTAAGTGAAGAATTCTGTAACAATGAACTTTGTGATCAAAGCCAAACCTGTATTTCCAGGTTTGGGGAGCTTTTTTTCTTTTGGTTTTTGGTTTTTCAAGACAGATTTTCTCTGTGTAGCTGCTTTGGCTGTCCTGGAACATGCATTGTAGACCAGGCTGGCCTCAAACTCATTGAGATCCGCCTGCCTTTGCCTCCCAAGTGCTGGGAATAAAGGTGTGTGCCGCCATGCCTGGCCCCTTTTGTCATTGTTAAAGAGCAGACGTACCTTGAGTAATTCTGGTGATGTTTTGCTTAGAAAATGTAAAACTCTTTAAGTCTACGAAATGGGAAATGGAATAAATGGTTATCTATGTCTCCAAAGGTTAGAGCTGAGAGCAGTGTCTCCTAAGGTTAGAGCTGAGAGCAGTGTCTCCTAAGGTTAGAGCTGAGAGCAGTGTCTCCTAAGGTTAGAGCTGAGAGCAATGTTTCCAAAGGTTAGAGCTAAGGCAGTGCCATTGCTAAACCAAGTCTTAGTTTTATTTAAATTTTTATTTCATTTGTGTGTGTGCGTGTGTGTGTGTGTGTGTGTGTGTGTGTGTGTCTGCTTGAGTTCTGGGGGTTGGACTCAGCCTGTCAAGGAATGCTTGACAAGCATGTTTACCCACTGACCCGTCTCTCTGGCCAGAGTATCGGCTTTAAAAGATAAATGCCAACTAGCCATCTAGAAATCGCGCCAAGTCCATGATTTTCGGGAGGTGTGGAGCTTCTGCAGTGCTGTGGAGAGCTGAAACCCCCTCCATCTCAGCCTGGACTTGGAACTCAGGCCTTGTGTTTTTGCCTCTCAGGTGATGCCACAGTCACAATATCTCACCGATACACCCCCAAAGAGCAACTGAAGAAGCACACGATCCTTGCCGACATTGTGATCTCTGCTGCCGGTGAGAGCTCTGAAGAAGTGTATACACGGGCTGACCTGTGTGGACGTTCGCCTGCCTCCTGCTGTCCTGCCCAGCTCTCCCCAGCCATGATTCTTTGTGCCGCCTCCAAAGGGGGCTGGAGTTGCAGTTAGAATACTTGTACCTGCCACTCTGTTGCAGACTGCAGGAGGGTACTCCTAGCCCTCAGTACTTCCACATGAAGTTTAAGTGCTCCTTAGTTAATGGTATTAACAGCACGTGTTAATAAGTTCTTCTTGCCTATAATGCCCTCTGACTATAATGTCCTCTTCTGGCCTCCATGGGCAGGCACTGCAGGCACATGGTGTATATATATGTTCAGGCAAATTTTTTGTTTTTCCTTCAAGACAGGGTTTCTCTGTGTAACAGCCTTAGCTGTCCTGGAACTAGCTCTTGTAGATCAGGCTGGCCTTGAACTCACAGAGCTCTGCCTGCCTCTACCTCCCAAGTGCTGGAATTAAAGGCATGTGCAACCACCACCTGGCTTCAGGAAAAACATTTATATACATAAAATCTGTAAATATAAAATAAATGAAAATTTTTAGCTGAAGTCTGTCACCTGACTGATTGTCACTCTCTGTCACCAGGTATTCCAAATCTGATCACAGCCGACATGATCAAGGAAGGGGCAACTGTCATCGACGTGGGCATAAACAGAGTTCAAGATCCTGTCACTGCAAAGCCCAAGTTGGTTGGAGATGTAGATTTTGAAGGTACTTAGTGTAATTGTTTTGAAAACATAAATCTATAAATATTACCTTTCATGGATATTTAGGGCAGATCATTTTCTTTTTACATAGTTTTTTTTTGTTGTTATTGTTTGTTTTTTGAGACAGATCTCTCTGTGTAGCCCTAGCTGTCCTAGAACTAGCTCTATAGACCAGGCTGGCCTCGAACTCACAGAGATCTGCCTGCCTCTGCCTCCCAAGTGCTGAGGTTAAAGGTGTATGCTGCCACCTCTGGCTTTTTTCTTATAACTTTTAAGCTTGTGTTATTTTGGTAATATTTAAAATGCTTTTTAAAAAACAGTATGGTGTGTGTGTGTGTTTGTGCTCATGTTTGCACGTGTATGGGTGCATGTCTGTGGAAGCCTGAGGTTGATCCTGGAAGTCTTCCAAGGTCGCTGTCCACCTTCTTCCAAGAGGCACCACCATGCCTGGCTATACACGTAATTTTTTAAAAAATGATGTGCATGTATGTTGTATATCTGTGTGTTCTATGGGTATGTCTGGTGTGTATGTGTTATGTGTGTATGTGGTGTGTGTTTGTCTGTGTTGTATGTATGTTATGTCTGTTTTGTGTGTGTATGTGGTGTGTTATATGTATGTTATATGTCTGTTTTATGTGCGTGTATATGTGGTGCGTGTGTCTGTGTTGTATGTCTGTTTTATGTGTGTGTATGTGGTGTATGTGTCTATGTTGTGTGTCTGTTTTATGTGTGTGTGTATGTGGTCTGTGTATGTTTGTGTGTCATAGTATTTGTGACCTTGGGTATCTTCAGTTGTTCATGTGCAGGCTGGCTGACAAGCTGCCTCCCAGCACTGGAGTTACAGTCACATGCTACCCCATCTGGCTTTCTCTCGTGGGTTCTGAGGCTTGAACTCAGGTCCTCATTTTTACAGCCAATGTTTTACAACTGAACTGTTACCCTGCCTTACGGATACTATTTTTCTTAAAATTAAGGGTTTATTTTGTATGCCTGAGTGTTTTGCCTGCATGTGTATGTATGTGCTCCATGTGTGTGCCTGGTGCCCTCAGAGATCAGAAGAGGGTGTCAGATCCCCAGAACTGGAGTTATGGGGGGTTATGAGTCACCAAGATGTTGCTAGGAACCCAGCAAACCACTTCCTCCGCAAGAGCAGCTGGTACTTGTAACGTCTGAACCATCTCTCCAACCCCATAGATGCTGTCTTTCTTACCCAGTTTGAAGCTAATAAAGGCCCTTACATTTCTTTTTCTTTAATACTTTTTTTCATAACAGGATAAAGTGCTTGTGAACTTTGCACACCTATCTGAAGCACCCTGCCTGTCTTGTTTCTCTGCAGGAGTCAAGAAGAAAGCCGGGTACATCACTCCTGTCCCTGGAGGTGTTGGTCCCATGACGGTGGCCATGCTGATGAAGAATACCATTATTGCTGCGAAGAAAGTGCTGAGGCCTGAAGAGCTGGAGCTGCTCAAGGCCAAGCAGCGTGGAGTTGCCACCAACTAGCAGGAATCCATGCCAGTTGGAGAGGCAGAGTGGGCCAAGAGGAATGCAGTATTTTTAATTTATTCTGTTGAAGTGGTTTAAAATGATGTTTGTATTTATTGAAAGCTTAAAACGGGTGGACGTGTGTGCGCATGGCTCTGCAGAACCTCACCGGGGTGCCCATCCGCGTCCTGCCTTTGACCTGGTGATGCAGGGGAGACATCCTCACACTGAGAGTGGATGCTGAACTTCATCACAAACCCTGCCTTGTTAGGTTCTCATTTCCCAAGTGCTATTCCAATTCAAGTTGATGGCTCATCCGAGGTTCCAAGCCTTCTGAGTTCAACTTTCAAACCAAAGGAAAACGTACTAGAGCGAATGGGGGGAAGAAGAAACGGCAGCACCGACACCGAGTGGAGGACGGCCCCTTGCTCTCTGTGCATGCCAGACTGTGACCAGGTTTCTCTGAAGAGGGCTCAGTTGGCTGGGCTGGTAGAGGGAAGCCCAGCATTGCTAGCTGTCCCATGTGGCTGAGTCACCGGGGAAGGTTTAGGATTTCCCCCACTTGCTGTTACCCTTCTGTGAGCTTGCCCTATTTCAGTTTTCTAGAATTGAGAAAGATCATTTCATAAATGACGTGTGTGATTGTCATGTTCGGCTTCTGCAGCACATTTAAACTTTAAATTTCAGACCGTTGGAGAGTAGGTGTCTATATATATATTTTTTTTTTGGCCTAAGCTTTGAGGCCAGTTTTTTGGGCATGATAATCATGAGGGCAGGTTGTGTAAAACCTACTACTTGCCACCAAAGAAATGCCGGCAGCTGCCTGTGTCTTTCACGTACCCTGTTGGCTTTCCTGAAGGTACCAAGGAGCTTGAGTTAATATAAGATTTGATCAGATTTTCTTATTAAAGGGTCTGTTGCTGTTGTTGGGTTCTTTTGTCTTGTTTTTAAATAAAACACATCTGTCTGGTGTGGAATGAGTTTCTGAAATGCTATCTTCTTCTGTCTCAGTTAGACCTAACCTGTTAGTATTTCCTACCCAGTGTTTGGGTTGGCTGTTCCTAGAGTATACCCAGTCTATAAGGAGTTGTGAAGAAACCAACCTAACCCTTATGTATCCCTTCAAGATACATGTAAGTGATTCTGGGTATCTTCTAAACCATTCCCTCCATTCACATACCACTCACTACAAAGGATTTGTTTGCGTGCAAAATTCTCAACACATGTGTATCATGTGCAATAGACACATTTATCCCTGCTGTGCAATTGTTTGACAAACTGGAAGGTGCAAGCTGAACTTCTATCCCTGTGTGTTCTCATGGCTGTTTGGATTTAGGCTGAAAGACTCAGTCCTGCTCTAGGCAGCCCATGCAGTGTTGGCCTATATTTCCCTTGTTCTTCTGCCAGGGGCTTTATGGTTTATGGCTTACACTTGTGTGTTTGTTTGTTTTAATGTATATGAGTATATATATGAGTGTATGTGTGCCATGTGCATGCAGTACTTGTGGAGGCCAGAAGAGGGCCTTAGATCTAGAACTGGAGTTCAGATAGTTGTGAGCCACCCTGGGATGCAAACCCAGGTGCTCTGCCAAAGCCACAAGTGTCTTTAACCACTGCGCCATCTCTCCAGCTCCCTTGCAGGGGATATTTTTGTAAGTCAGGTATGGTACATGCCTGTTGATGTCCTTCAGTTATTAAACATGGCATAAGATAAGCAGACACAATTATATTTTATTTAAGTACCGTTTGCGGAGAAGTCATATGCCGACACGTTAAAGGCTGCTGAGTTTAAATGCTCATGTATATACAAAATACAAGTGATATTTAAAGTGAAAATTACATGGATCAATTTATATCAACCTTTTAAAAGCTAACTGGCTTCTCAGCTCGCTTGATTAATAAAGCCCACTTCCCTCTGAATCTGTAACAATGCTACAGCTCGATCTGGATCGAGGGCTGCTACAGACCAGTGAAGCTTTGAAACTTGGCCTTTGGCTCTCTCAGGACTGGCACAGGAAGACAAACAGTTGTATCGTGGAATGGGTTTAGATCACCGGAGAACTGGGCTGTCATACCCTATTTGGGACGGGGTTCTTCTGACCACTTGCATAAAGTAGCTATTACAAACAAGAGCTGCCTAACAGGCAATGTTGCTGAGAAATTTGGGCCTTAGCTATTGCAAAGTTGTTGTGGGAGAGGAAGGAGGGAACCTACTCAGATGCATCAAAAAGTGGACTCCAGGTTATAAGGCCACCGGTGAGCATAAAGGGTTATTTGGTTGACCTAATGCGGCTTAAGAGTTCAGTTCACAAGCACTATTTTGTCTAAAGCAATCCGCTCCAAGCCAGTCGAGACGCACGTGCCTTTAATCAATCCCAGAGACAGGTGGAGTTCTGGGGACAGCCTGATCTACATAGGGAGTTCCAGGACATCTGAGGGTCCTTAGTGAGCACCTATCTCAAAGATAAGCAATCTACCGATACACGAGTTCTTCCGTGAATAATCTTGGGACTGGCCGTTCAGTGTGTGGAAGGCCCAGCCACACTTCTAGAGTCAGGCCTGCTTGTACAGAGGACTCCAGGCAGAACGAGGCGAAAAGACAACTTTCAGCCACTTTCTAACGTGTAAGCCTGCAGAACACACTCAGACCTTCAAGGTATTTAGATTTCAATCTAACCTCTAAAAGATCCTAAATTGATAAATAAGTAGAAGATACTAAGTCAATATATACTTTAAATACAAGCCCATCACTGCCCATGTATCGTACTTATAACTTTGGAGAACATTTTTTGTTCATTTCAGAAGAAAGGTTATATCTATGCTGGGTGGCATTTTAAGCCATATGGATCTGTTTTGGGTATTTTAATAACTGCAAAGGGAAGAGGAGAACTTCATGATTATCTTGGATGTCACGGATAGGCCTCCAGTGGGTAAGGAAACAAGTGAAGGGCTTGACACGCTCTAGATGGAGCCTGGGCCAGCCTTCACGCTGTCCCCAGCCGGGAAGAGCAGTGCTGGGCTAGAGCGTGGTCTCCCCGCCCACCTTTCTCCCATAGTCCTAATTGTCTGTGAAGTCAAGGTCAGGCTCCATCTCTATCTTCACCTGCGGCACCATGAAGACTGGACTCCGTGAGTAACTGAAGGCTGGTGAAGCTGGACAAGCGATTTTGAAGTGCAAGGTGATGCTGAGTAAGACAAAGCAGGAAGAAAAATGAGTATCTAGTCTTGGGTTTGTTCAGCAGTAACCACAGGGCAGGCTCTGATGGAAAAGTTCTGTCATTGCTTATCAATTTAAAAAAAATTTTTTTTTCTGGGCTGGAGAGATGGCTCAGAGGCTAAGAGCACTGACTGTTCTTCCAGAGGATCTAAGTTCAATTCCCAGCAACCACATGGTGGTTCACAACCATCTGTAATAAGATCTGGTGCCCTCTTCTGGCCTGCAGGGACACATGCAAGCAGAAAGTCATATACATAATTAATAAATAGATCTTTAAATAAAATAAAATGCTGCTAGTTAAAAAAATATTTTTTTCTGCTTGTGTGTCTGTGCACCACACACATGCAAGCTTTTTTTTTTTTTTTTCAGAAAAACATTACAGTCCAGGGAGCACTCAGGAGGCACAGACAGGTAGGTCTGAGTTCAAGACCAATCAAGGCTACTTAGGTGAGACCCTGTCCCAGAAAAATCATTACATTTCCTTACTTATGGGTGTTTGCAGGGGCGGGGAGGGGGCACAAGAGTGGGTGTCGGGACAATGCAGGAGTTGATTTTCCCCTTCCACCATGTCGGACTCAGGATCAAACTCAGATCATGGTTTACTTGGTTAGTTGGTTTTACAAGACAGGATTTCTCTGTGTAGCTCTGGCTGTCCTGGAACTCACTCTTTGAACTCACAGAGATCCTCCTGCCTCTGCCTCCCAAGTGCTGGGATTAAAGATGTGTGCCACCACCTGGCTCAGATCGTGTTCTGTTTATTTATTTTTCCAGAAGGGTACTGCTGTGTAGAGCAGGCTGACCTTGAACTCAAAGGGACCCACCCCCCTGTCTGCCAATTGCTGGGATTAAAGGTGTGGGCCACCATTTATTTCTTTGAACTCAGGTCACCAGGTTTGGTGGCAAGCACCTTTACCTACTGGGCCATCTTGCTGGCCTTTTCTGTTTTTTGTGTTTTTGATACAGAGTCTCACATAGTTGCAAACTTGTCTTGTAGCTAAGAATGACCTTGAATTCCTGATTCTCCTGCCTCTGCTTCTCACAGAGCATGAATTTACAGAATCTTTGGACCAAAGTGTCCCCTAGCTGCTGGGCTCTTAGCCATAGTCACTCAACTGGTCCCAGCCTGTTTTAACCTATTTAAACGGCTGCCAAGCCAACTTTCTGAATCATAAATCTGACTGTTCTGTTCTCATTGTTCAAAGGACAGCATCCAGATTCCTTAGCATGGCAGAGAGAGCCCACTTGGTTTGAACTGGCCACTTTTCTGGTTTAACTGCCCATCAATTCCCGCATGTGTGCTTTCAAATACTGCCTTAGGCCTGTTCCCATGACCCGGACTGACGTTTCCTCCTCTGCCCTGGCTCAGTCTGTGCATCAGGCTGGTCTTTCTGTCCTGGATATGGCTACTGAGATCACCAGCTTCTCTGTGTGCCCACGCATGTTCTCACATGCATGTTGTGCCTTTGTCTGCAAGTCCCGCTACAACTCCAAGAATGGCACCTCGTGCCTGGCAGGTTTGTAAAAATTTACTTTTTAATAGATATGCGTGTTTGCATACATGTGTGTCTCTGCACCACATCCTAGTGCCAAGGAGTCCAGAAGAAGGGCTCAGATCCCCCAGAACTAGAATGACAAATGGTTCCTAGCTGCAATGCGGATGGTAGGAACCAAACTTGAGTACTCTGGAAAAGCTGCCAGTGAACTTAACCTGAGAGCAATCTTACCAGCCCTGCATCTTAGCCCCATCTCTCTGGCCCATTCATCCCTCTGACCCCCATTTATCCAGCCCCTTCAATCCCCATCTCTCCAGCCCACCCTTCCCCTTAGCCCTTCACCCAGTCCTCAGTCCCCATGCCTTCAGCTTTGAGGCTTCATCTATGTCTAGCCAAGTCCTGAGCTCTTTGCTCTCTGGGGAGACCTCTTCCTTTACTTCCATCTGCTCTCACAGATTCGGGGAACACCAGTGCATATGGCAAGCACCATCTCTAGCTCACCGAATTCTCAGCCTTTCTGTGGCTCAGGGTAATTTAACAGGTTTTCAAAAATTCCCTGTCTTGGTCTAGGCTCTTGCCTGCAGATGGGGTGGAGATCTGATTTAGGGTAAGCCTTTTTAAATCTTAAGGATGTATTCTGTGGGATCTGATGTCCTCTCTGGCCTCTACAGGCACCCACACACTCTGACACTGTGACACCCAAGCAGCTCGAGTCTTATCCAGGACCTGCTATATGCAAGATTCTCTTCATGCATGGTGTCTCGGCAAGAGCACCATTGATATGAGGGTCCTTGGCTTCTGAGCCTTGAATATGTCTCTGAAGAAAACTTTTTTTCCTGAGGCAGGATTTCATATAACCCAGGCTGGCCTTAACTTGCTCCATAACACATGATGGCCTTGAACTCTCGATCCTCCTGGCTCTGCTTCCTCAGTGCTGGGATTATAGGCAAGTGCCACCATTCTTGGTTTCATAAAGCGCTGTGGTTTGAACCAGGGCTGTCTACATGGTAGGCAGGAACAACCACCGAGCAACTCCCTAGTCCTTTTCCTGAATGTTTCTATCTCTACTTAATCTCTCCTTTCTGGTTCCCTTTCCTCAATCCTTCTTCCCACCTGAGGTGACTAACCTCGCTGTTGATCTCCTACTTAGAGTGCCTTGTGCTTTGATCCTTTGTGTTTATCCATCCAAGCTTTCAGAAACAGAGAATCAAGCCACGCTTTCACTGTTGCCTACGTTGTTTTCTTTTTTTCTGTGTTTTCACAGAATATTC